TCCACTATGGAAAACAGTGTTGAGCTTCCTCAAAAAATTAAAATGGAACTCCCATTTGACCCAGTAATCCCACTTCTACGAATATATTCCAAGAAATCAGAAACACCAATCAGAATGAAGATATGCACCCCTATGTTCATCGCAGCACAATTTATAATAGCTAAGATTTGGAAACAGCCTAAGGGCCCATCAGCAGACAGATGAGTGGATTAGAAAACCGTGCTACATCTACACAATGGAATACTATGGTGCTGTAAAAAAAGAAAGAACTCTTACCATTTGCAATAGCATGGGTGGACCTGGAGAGCATTATGCTAAGCAAAATAAGACAGTTGGAGAATGAAAAATATCACATGATCTCACTCATTTGTGGAATATAATGAACAACATAAACTGATGAACAAAAATAGATCCAGGTACATAGAAGCATGGAACAGACTGTCAAACCTCAGAGGGAAGGTAGGGGACACTGGGGGTGTGTGGTAAGAGATCAACCAAAGGACTAGTATGTATGCAAATAAGCATAACCAATGGACACAGACAGTAGGGGGGTGAGGGCATGTGCATGGAGGGTGGGGCTGGAGCTGGCGGGGAGAGGTCAATTTTTTGGCAGTTCTACATTTGCTTTCTGAAATTTCTACTTGCTCATACTAACTTTCCCCCCCCTTAGGGTAGTAGCTTAGCATAGTCAGAAAGTTATTAAAGCCCGAGTTGAGTTTGTGTCTTTCAGCAAGTTTTGCCAGGAGTGATAGGGGCATGAATGCTAAGGACCATTTTTTATGAGGAGTCTTGTTAGATCATGCATGTGATGTAAATTTGAACTACAAATTCAAGTGAGAAAAAAACCTATGATTATGAAATTGAGGCTTTTTTTTCTTTTTCTTCATAGCTATTAAATCTATCTGTCCTAGATTATAAAGACTAGAAATCTAAAAAATAAAAATAAATAAAAGACTAGAAATCTATGTAGTCAGAGTATCAATGGCTGTTATCAATATAATTTCCAGTTCCCTTTTATTTTTTCTTTGTGTGAGAGGATCACAACAGTACATAGAAGAAAAGCAGACTTGAAGAGTAACTTGCAGCTAGATTGATATTTATTGCCATGTAATGGGGAGTAAACAAATATAAAAAGCAGATATGCATATTAATGCCTTTGGGTAACAGACCAAATGGGCTTTTCTTCATTGGCATTTAAACACAGTCAAACCTTTCTCTACCATCTCCTATTTATGAACAATTTGGTTCTCAGCCAAGTTGTGCACAGAAAAAATGTCTAGGTTGTGAACCAAACTTTGGTTTTTGAAAGATCTCTCAGGCCACAAAAAAAGGAGAGAATGCTTTTGTTGTTGGGGGAGTCAAAGGTTAGCACAATTTTAAAACATAAAGAGGCCATCTAGTGCAACTATTGCTAAGAGTGTGAAAGAAATAATGATCACAGGCAGTTGAAAAGGTATAAAAACTGTTGTTGATTTGGATAAATGTCAGCATTTTGGAGGCAGCAATATATAAACAAACAAAGATGCTGCACGGTGACCTGAAAGATACCCCTGGAATGAGTGCTGAACGTGATTTAAGGCTAGTAGGAGGTGGTTCGGTAAACTTAAGAAAGGAAGTGTTTATTTGTAGATTAAACAGTACATTAGACATGTACTGTGTATAAGAAAGATTAAAATGGCGTCATTTGTGGGTCTGGAATGGATTAATTCAATTTACATTATTTCTAATGGAAAAAAATCATTCGGTTTTCGAAAAAATTGCTTCTCAGACAGCCTATCGGAATGAATTGAATTTGAGAACCGAGGTTCCACTGTATATGATTAGAGTCATTGATATGATGGCTTACACATGGTATTCCTCATATAATATGTGTCTCTGTCACAAAGTGATGAGTGTAGCAAGTAATCATGTTAGAATTAATTTAATAAACCTCTTTATAAAAAATATCACTTTTCCTTTGTTTTTTCCAAACTTATTATGCTTTGTTAATAAATTAGTTTTCCAGTTCTCAAAATTAAATCAATCACCCCTATATATTTCTTACTCTGACTTTTTTTGTATGACAGAATAAATAACAAGATGAGAGTAACTATGATTTTATTATAGTCATCTTTGTCCTACTTCATGCATGCCAAAGCCTTTGTCTCTTTGCCTTTCTTCTTCCTTATTCCTCTGCAGGAGGTTGCTCTAAAAATAGCTCCAGAAATAGATGTTATACACATGGTCAGATTGCTGAATCATTTAGTTCTTTTGTGAAGTTTAAGAATGTGGAAAACACTGAGCAGAATAGGACAGGCATATTTATCAAATGGCAAGTTATTATGCTTTTGAAGAATAAAGAATTATAATCTCAATAATCTTGTAGCAGTTTTATTTAAATCTATTTTAAAATGATTATATTTTAAATATATAAAATGGTTTTGAATCTTCAAAAAAGTTTTGAATGTGATTCTCAGAATTGCATTTTGTTAAATATAATAAATTTGAGACTATGAGCAGATTAATAACAAATGAGCTATAAATATTTTATATATAAATATTTTATTTCATTATCTTCTCATCTTAGGTATGTTAACATTATTGCTTCTTTGCAATAGTTTTTCTGCCTATGATATTGTTATCTCCAGAAAAGAACTGTTGAGTTTAATGCTTGATAATAAAATATGGTGATTTTTTCTTAAAGTGAGGATTTAGCTTTTTTACATCATTTCTCCCTTCCCCATCATTTCAAAATAATTAAACATTTTTGGTAAACAGATTGTTGAATACTGATTCCCCCATAATTGTAATGCTAGGAATTCATTACAAAGTATATCTCTGAATTGCTAGAAAAATTAAGGAAAAGTTATAATTTTCTTTAAAAAAATGAAATTTGGAACAACAAAAATGATTATAATTATTTTGCCTTTTAAACTGCTGTAAAGACTGCCTATTGAAGTGGTTATATATGTAGTTGAATTCTGATTTTTAGCTTTTCAGTTTATTGTGAATATTTTTCATAGCTCTATAGGTAATGACAGTTATTTTGAAAATTTGATAAAACCTAAAATTTTATTTTATAAATGAAGATAAATGTAAAACATTATAACTTAAAGTTTAAAAAACCTTTCTCATAAATTATCACCTGATGTAATTTGATTTTATATTTTAATAGCCAAAAAATATGTCTTGAAAGGTGTCTGTAGTTTCTGGAGGTGGTAGGCTGGAGCTCAAAGAGACAAAAAAAATAATTTTTTAAAGATGCCTTGATTTAGTGGAATTCTAGGCGACTGCTTCTCAGTTTCTTCCACTTGAATGCCAGCAAACAATGCTAGTGCCTAGCAATACCTCAGGTCGATTCCAGGAAGAACTGGAGAACAGATTCCCCCAGAGTTCAGAGAGGGCTTTCAGTTAGGTTGTGACTCCATACTTCTGGGGAGCAGATAGGAAGCAAGCTACCATTTTCTTTGGAAAATAGAGCCATGAAATAAAATTAGCTCTACTACTAGTCTATCATTCCGCCTCCCCTCTCATTTCTGGGAATATCAGAGAATGAGGTAGCTGGTAGAGCTGGTTCAAGAAGTTTGCCAACATGTGGAGCCTATCACCCACTGAGGGGACTTCCTGTTCTATGCAGACTTATTTTTTGACCATGGTTGATAAACTCTAAAAATCACTAACTCACAGCTATGGAACAGGTTTTTCAGGGGTGGGCCTGAGAATGGTAATGCCAAATGAATGGTGCATTTACTGGGTGATTTGATAGCTGCAATTATATTTGTTTTACACTCTTTAGGGCCTAAGGGGTTGAGAGAAGGTTGGAGGCCCCCTGTGCTGTTTTAAAAAGCAGAGTACTGGAAGTCAGGATAAATGGAATCTTGTGCTCTTAGCCTCTGGGATAGTATGAAATCCTGAGTCATCTTCCCACCCACTTCCACCCTACCCCTGCAGCAATCTCAACTGTATACTTTTTCTTATGTGAATAATGATATTACTGACTAAGCTTCCTCTTAAGACTCTGTTACTCCAGTATGTCATACTTTTCAGAAGGTTTGTGTCTTTTTATTTAATGAGATTAGGTAACTTTGTTTTTATTTTATGATTTTTAAAAAATCATTTAGGCCCTGGCTGGTGTAGCTCAGTTGGTTGGGTGTTGTCCTGTGCACCAAAAGGTTACTGGTTAGATTCCCAGTCAGGTACATGCCTGGGTTGTGGGCTCAATCACCAGTATTGGGTGTGCAGGAGGTATTGGGTCTGCTCTCACCTCAGTCTTTCTCCTGTTCCCTTTCTCTCTCTCTAAAAATCAATAAAAATACTTTAAAAATAATTTGGGCCAAAGATTTCAATATTTGCTGAGTGTAACTACATGTAAACAGCAAAGGTTTGCTTTTGGGTGCTATACCTTAACAATGAAGGGTAAATTTCCAATTACAAGAACCTCCAATTTTTGCTTAGAATGGAAATTGCCCTTATGGTGCCCTTCAGTGACACTATGATCTGCGTTTAGTTTTATGGAGGAATTGTTTGTGTTTTGTTCATTTGTAACTGAGTGGTATATTTCCAAAGGTTTGAGAATAGTGAAGAAAATTGCTTTGAAATTCTCAGTACCATTTGGAAAGCAAATTGCATAAATTTAAAATTTAAAGCAATAGAATGGCTTCCTTTTAAATATGATTTTTAGCAAATGTTTGATCATACTACATTTGTGCTACAGTTCAAATGCTGAAGAAGCATTTTGGCTTCTTTCCCAAAAGCATGCTTAAGAGGCTAGCGGCAGCATTTCTCTGTTCCCTTCAGTGCTTTACCTTGTGAGTGGTGCAGCTTGTTCTGCGGATGTACTGAAACCCTCCCCTTTAATCTGCAGTGGAGAAGAATGGAGCCCAATGTCCAGGAGAAATCTATGATCTAGCAAGGTTGCAGTGAATAGAAATGACTATTTATTTCAACAGCTGAGCAAGAAGACCTTTATAATATTTCTTTTGCTTTCGGCTGATCAATTTTTGCTTTCTGTTTCCTTCTAGAGAGATGTGGATAATTTGCCCTGCCTCCAACGTCTGTTTCTCAGCTTCAACAATATATCTAAGTAAGTGGAAACTCCCAATTTGTCATTTACTAATAACATGATAGTGTGGTTTGTAGTGTTTTAAATTAAGATTGTAAGTACCTTGGAGAATTTATTGACATGTGAGATTTTTAAATTGGAAAATGATAGGGCCATCGGTGACAAAGTTCTTTGTGGAAAAACAAAGCTCTGTTGTGTATCAGTGCCTCTCATACTAAAATAATGAAATTTATGTAATGTGCTTTTTATTTTATTCTACTTTATAATTGCTCTCTTGTAAAATGTGGAAATTTAAACATACATTTTGCTGTCTTTTGTTTGACACTTATTGCACTAGTCAGTTTAATTAGAATTTCTTTCATAAATTACCTACTAAGCAGTTTTGATATAGCTGGCTATATTTGTCAGAGACATTTGCTAATTAGGCCATAACTTCTAACTTAGTATCCCTACTTAGAATGAGTGCTGCCAAGAGACTGTATACTAATATGTGTGTGTGTGTGTGTGTGTGTGTGTGTGTACACATATATATGAATGTATAAATTTTGCTTTACAAAAATTTGAAGCATATAATTCTTTATATTGTGATAAAGTCACATTCACTGTCAATGTGGGAGATTTTAGAACTGGAACTGAAACAAGCAGTCAGACTTTCCTTCTCCTTCTTCCCCCTAGCCACTTAGTTTGAACTAGGTTTTATAACTAACTACCCCTAAATTCTTTAGTTTTACTTCAAGGCTGTTCTTTGAACCTGCTTTTATAAGATGGTAAGAATTAAGTATAAAAGAGTTTAGAACACATCTCTTCCTGGCCTCTAGGCCTATGCTTCTGATTATTAAAAACTAGTTTTTGTGCGTTTTCTATTTGCATCTTTTTTCCTCCTCCATCAGACTTGTATTACCTGTATCCCTGTGCTATATCTCTAAATGTTAGAGATTAAATCCAGATGGTGAACTTTACAAATAGGCATTATTTCAAAGAGATACCTTGAATCTTTTTTATTTTCTATGGAAAAGGCATTAACGTTTTCTGTAAGACCTTTTATCTTTTTTTTTCAGTTTGTGTTGAATGCTCTTCCATCTGCCTTTCTATCTTGTTGAGGAGGTAGGATTTATTTTTCAATGGGAGTGCAAGGGACACTCAACTTTCTTTAGGGAATTTCTACCTCAAGCCCATTAAAATCTGTTTTGAGAGGATAGTTCCTTATCCTCACAATATGTTGTTTCTCATGTGTCACAGTATTAACTGTTTAAGGTGCTGCAAACCCCTAAGTCTCCCAGCCTGTGGTGGAACTCAATACTATGCTTCTTGTATTGTTTATGGGAATAATTTAAAGAGAGATATAAATTTGGGTATACGGATTATGATATTCCCAGATCCCCAGGACATCTGAACTTCTGAACTCCTGGTGCACCCCAGAACCAGCTCAAACTGGTCCTATCCTGTTTCTAGCAAGACCTGGAAGCAAAGTTTGCGAGCAACACTTGTGAACACCACTCATGAGTGATACTTGTGCACCCTTAACTGCTACCCCATGGAACCAAAGGACCGAACATGGCCAGATCCTGAACATCGATCCCTTTCTTAAGTGAAGGGTCCATTGTCCAGGAAGATCCAGTGCTGACACCCCTTCATCCTGCCCCAAACCCTTGATGGGGAAGACAGATTTGAGTCTTGCCTCCTATCTCCTTGTTATTCCACTTGCAAAACAAAAGCCTTTTCTTTTCTCAAAAGCTGGTGCCATAGTCTTGGCTTCTATGTGCATCTGGTAACGAGCTTTTGCTCAGTGACACTGGGTCTGTAGGGAATGGGTAATTGTAATTCAGTTAGTTAAACTTAGTTGTGGCAATATTAGAAAATGTAAATCAGCCTGGAAGTGAAGAAAGCCTTCCCAGAGTTAGATGGTACCAGCACTGAACTCTAAGTGCAGAGTAGGCCTTAGCAAAGTAAAGGGTCCTGGCACATTAAAGACACAGGGCATACTTGGGCAAAACTGATGCAGAGGGCTCAGGGTGGACTCACTAGGTCTACTCCATGGGAAACTGCAGTGAGCCTTGCCTTCCCCCTCTTTACTCCCCTCCAACCCCCCACAACCATAATAACCCTGGGCCTTCCTCCGGCTCACAGAGTGCTGAAGGGGACTGCCAAAGTAATCATTTTTTGATGATTACTTTAAGAGAAATATTCTGTGGTTAATCAAGGGAATTACTTAAATTTCATTATTCACCTCTTCTTCTGGGGTGCTGTTTGGTTGATTCATTTTGTTCTTCTTGGCTCTCATGCTCATAGTTTCCAAGTAATTATTGTATTTTTTTCTAGTGGTTCTTATTTTATGAATGAGGTAAAGTTTTCTTTGATTTCTAGCATTTACTTTTTTTCATGGTGCTAATACCTGTATTTGTTTTCTAAACAAAAGAAAGAAACAAAAATGCTCTTTCTTTCTTTGTTTCTTTATTTCTATGATTTTTGCATGGTAGTTTATATTGATAAATGAGAGTCTAGAATCTAGACTCTAGATGGAGTTTTTTTCCTCAACATGAGTTAAAGTGGGAGGCAGGGGTTGGCTATAAGGGGTCAGTGAGAGAAAAAAGGGGATATATGTAATACTTTCAACAAGAAAGATTAAAAAAATAAAGATCCAGTTGTTTCTAAACATAAAAAAATATCCACTGTGAATGCAAATTGTGAGTACAGGATGTCTGTCTGCAGGGGATACAGGATAGGGAGGAGGGGGGATGTTTACCCAGTCAGATCTCCCTTAGAATGTGCACAAAGAACTTGCCTTCTGAGATTGCAGGTGCTTTTTTCATCTTTGCCACCAGAACTTAACCAGATCACTGCCCTCTCTCCCTTCATTTTGGGGACAGTTCAGGAGTTAGCCGCTCTGAGAGTGAGAGGCTAGCAGATTGTCACTAAACCCTTCAATAATTACTGGACAGGTGACTCATCTGCTGCCAATACTTGCTGCCTCTGATTTAGGGTATATTCTGCAGCCTTGCCAGCAACACTTACCAGTTTACAATGTAATCATCCTGTTCATTTAAGGCTCTTTAGCAATTTTGGGTTTTACTGATTCCATCTGCTTTATATCTTCCAGAAATTCCTTACTGTTCTGGTCTGCTGATGGTCTTCCTGTTTTTTAGTACTGCTATGGAAGAGATTTAGAGAGGGTGGAGAGAGGTTAGCATGTGCTCAGGCAGCCTTTCTCATAACTGTCCTTCCTTTGAGTGATTTCTCCACAGAGGCTGCATAGAAAGATAACCGGGGAGGCTTTGAAGATACATATGGTCACTGGGTGATCTGCTCCAGCAGATTCGCAGTGGGGCCAGGCGTCTTCTCGGAGGATTCTCATGGGCCATTCAGTGCTGGATTTGGGAGCCACTGAGTTATGACACCCCAAAATGGGAATATTTGTTAATTTAGAGATCACTGTTTTATGTATAATTTCCCTTCAAAAGGAAAAGCTTTCTAAACACAAATTTTGTCACAGACCAATATATGCTACCCTCCGGAGGCAGTTGATGCTCTGTAGCCAAAACTGGGGTGTTTCATTAGTTTCATCTCTTCCACTGAGATAGTTGCAAAGTTACAAAGTTAGGTTGTAATTTCTTCTTTTCTTCAATCTCTCTTTTCTTTCATTCTCCAAATGTAGAAAGTTTTTATAAGCTTTTTTTTGTTTTTAAACAGAAAGAAGAGGGTTTATAATTCTAGTGCCTTGATTGCCTAAAAGGGCATGGTTGCTATTGCCTCTAGAACTAAGGGGAATTCAGTATCTTTAGGAAAGGAGTCAGATACTAGTCAAGGTCAGATATCAGCTCAGGTCTCATGTATTCTTTTTTTTTTCATTGTGGTAAAATCCACATAAATGTACCATCTTAACCATTGTTAAGCTAAATACATTCACGTTGTTGTGCAGCCAATTTCTAGAACTCTTTTCATCTTGCAAAACTGAAACTCTATGCCCATTAAACAACAACTCTCCATTCCTCTCTCCCCAAGCCCCTGGCAACTACCAGTCTACTTTCTCTTTTTATGAGTTTGCCTACTCTTGATACCTCATCTAATAGAACTATACAGTATTTGTCTTTTTGTGACAGACTCATTTCACTTAGCATAATGTCCTCAGAGTTCATCCATGTTGTAACATGTAAAAATGTCCTTTCTTTTTGAGGCTGAATACTTCCGTATCATTCTGAGGTGGTATGAAAGAGAGTAGAAGAGGGAGCTTGCAGAAGAAGCCATGCCTACCTCTCCATCCTTATTGCCTTCCCATAATGCCCTAGACTCCTCTTCCACTGAACTTCCTTAAACATAACATGCTCCCCCTTTCCCACTCAGTCTTTGTATCTCCTGTGGCTTCTGGCAATAACGTTTTTCTATCCTCTCTTTGAGTAAATCCTGAGCTTCCTTTAGGTTTCAGATGAAATGACACCACAACTTCTCAAACTTTAATATGCCAAAAATCATCTGGAGAGCCTTCTTTCTGGGATCCATCTTTCATGGATTCTAATTCAATAGTTTTAGGTGGGGCTCAGAAATTCATATCTTTAGCAAGTGATGCAGCTGACTTAAAAATACCACTGGTCTGTGCTTTTCAGACTTCAAATCAAAACTTCTAGAGGGATCCTAAAATCTATTTAGTGAATCAAGACTAGAAAACTAATAGAAAATATCAGTTTGTCACATACTTAAGGGCAAATATTGTTTCATGAAAAATTTTCAGTTTCAATTATATATGGGTGTATCTATGCATGCATTTGTGGATTATAATGTAAATATATTTCTCACTATGGATTAGGTTTTAAAAGTCTAAAAAATACTGTGGGGTCTTGCTACATTCTTTCATAACTTCCTTTATTTCCACTATTATTGCAGTGTTGATAGTTTATTGTAATTTCATTTTAAATTGTTCTCCCTACTAGACTGTGAACTTGAAAAGGGCAGAGGAGTATGTCTGCTTTGTTCAGTAACTAGCATTTATAGGTAAGCTCTCAGTAAAAATATTACTCTCGTATCAACAA